TGGCTTGGCCATGTTCGCGGAAGAGAACATTCTCGGCGTTGAGCTTGCCCTAAGTGTCTGCACCTTTAGAGACCCCCGGTAGATGCAACACACCCCCTTAAGCCCCGGCTTCACGCAGATGGCACTCCTGGGCTGAACCGCCCGAGGGAAATCGGCAGTTACCTTTTTTTAACTCTCTCCCCTCATCTTCGTCTTTTTCTTTGCCTTTTTATCTTTCCTGTGTACTTTTGTCTTTGTTTCCTTCCGAATTTCTCGGCCTCTAGATTCACGGTGGCGTGGATTACAGCTATGTCAACGTTTTAAGATATTGTATCTAAAAACGTTGAGCTAGGCGCATTTGGTTATGATGGCGTTGTACGGCTGGTGTTTCGAAGCTTTCAACATCCGCAAACTTGCAGCATCCCCTCGTTGGGTTCTGTGGTAGGTGGCCGCCGACCCAGCTGAACAACTCAACACTAGCATTCATACAGCATTATCTTTGCTTAGCGATCGTAGCTTCTGAAAGCGGGCATGCACCTAAGACTTCAATGTCTAAAACCGGACTAGACGAACATCGCTTACTTCCTGTTATACACCGTGAGACAATAAGGAAGCCAGAACTGAATAGTTACAATGGGTGTCAAACATACACTTTCGGTGCCGGGTACAAAGTCACAAAAATGACCAGTGGAGATCTGTTTCTAGAGGTACGGGAGAAAACCAGTTTGAAAAGCGGAACTCTCTTGCAACTTATGGTGACACGCCATTGAGTACTACACCGCACCCAGTCTATGATCAGAGCTCGCAGCGTAGGATCTAACGCATCTTTGACATGACCAAAACTGAACATCTGGAGAGATGGAAGAGCCAGATTGTGGCTAAGATGCCATGGAGCAAGATCAGAAAAAGATAATAAGGAAACACTAGTAAAACACGTAAAACTGACGTTTGCTTCGAGTGATTGGCCGGAAACTATTCAGACTGGATGTCAGAATATATATACCTAACCACCATCGTTGTTTACAATGCAAAAAGTATGGCCACAGCTTGTAAAGCTGTCATGGTTGGTGAACTTGTGCACAATATGGAGTCTTGAATCACAGTTGCGACACTTGCAAAGAACCAGCACACTGCGTGAACTGTGACGGAAATCATGCCACATATATCCGGTCCTGTCTTTTTTTTTTTGGAAAAAAGAAAGAGACCATCCCGATGAAGGTGAAGGAGAATAAATCGTTTGAAGAAGCAGAAAACATTACTTGCCCTTCTTAGACCCGACATATGCTAATGCGCCGCGTCAGGGAGACCCCTGCAAGAGCTCTCGCTACTCCTTCGGCCTGCGGAGAGCAAGTCGTTTGCTGTGGCGCCTGTCGACAAGGCGGCAAAAGTTCAATTTACTCCGCCTCCTAGCGAACAGACTGGATACTCCAGGGTCATCACTTCTCGAAGCCACCTCACCACGTGAGGCCCAACATTCGAACCACCAGCTTGCACGTGTGAGCATTCAGTTCCTCTGAGGAGGCAATGAATATGGCTGTACACCTGTTGCCGAAAGATCAGCGTAGCTCTTTGGAGCGCGCCAAGAAAATGAGTAAGCAGAGTGTGCCCAATAATGGCTCTGTTACTTGAATTTCAACTTCACGCTCAAGGAGCCACTTCATCTTCATACACACACCACTACTACACTTTCTTGACAAATCATACAATGGGACCGTCGATGCTCTTCAACCATTTAGCACTACGCTCCTCAACGTCTGCGTACGAGCGAGCTGCTGGCGACGTGCGACTGCCCCACTGGCCGCACAATGGCCGCATCGCAATGCCATGCCTTCTAGATTTCTCCTAAATGTGTAACAGACTGTACGTAAATAATCACCGCAAAACGTTTTCGCTCACTCTGTGAAGTTGCCAGCATCTTGGCATACTGCGCATTAGTTTTCATGTTCTCTAAAAAGCTCAGGTGCAGAAACCAGAAAATCAGTGAGTGAGAAAACAACCGTATTAATGCAATCAAAGGTAATACGATCGTTTTTTGTGGCATGAAAACAAGACTTTGAGAAAGCTGAGTGCAGAAATGGTTTCCCAATGCTATTTTAACCCGTTTTTAATGGACAGATTTACAGTCAACGAGGGATTTTACCGATCTGGGAGCACAAATCCAAGAAGCAAGCGCATCTCGAAATCACGTAGCTTGGTCAATAAATTGAAGCTTGTTTTTTTTTTTTATTTCACAACTTCGCACGTGAAAGGAAGACCACGCCCCTTTTCCTTAAATGCTTTAAGTATGTATGTTTAGCTTACCATGTATGCTAGGATTACCATAAAAAACAAAGTAATCATCTACATATGCCTCCCTCAACTCTCAAAATCTTCTTCGAGATCACAGTCAGTGCTACTTAATACGTCACCAAGAACCGGATCAACTCAGAGCATATGTAGACTCCTGAAGCCTGAAATACACTGTAAAAACTATCCATTAGAGGTACGGCAAAGATTGGCGTAAATCTCACGAAGGTCTCTCAGTTCCTAGGAAGAAAAAGATAATAGCCTTGGATGCCAACAGACGTAGTGCTGTTATTGTAGCTACGGAGACAATGTCCTTCTTCTGTGGACCTTATGGAAAAGACTAGAAGTTGGCTGCTCTGATTAGTTAATTTCTAGCCAAAATGCCAGGCCACTTTTTTCGGGGGCACGATGTGTTGACAGAGACCCTGGGTGCGTGTAACTAACATTCGCTTTTTCATAGTTCCTCTTTAATATTGTGATATGAATGCTCTCGACGTGTTTTCGATATAGACATCACCGTCACGCACCATATAAAGTCCAAATCGTGTGTTCGAGCCGTGGGTAAATGAACGCGAGCGAGCACTACGAAAGCGCTGAAGCAGAGAGGAAGCAAGCCGACCCATCTCAGTCGCACGAAGGGCGCATGCGATAACATCACCCGCGTGCGAGGCATGTCATCGAATTATACTCAGGCAGAAAGGAAACGCCCTGTCTGTTTTGAGGAATGCCGGGGCCACGGGGAACAAGAGGGAAGCTGCCATATAACCAAATGGGAAGATAGCCACCAATTGAAACTTCAAAAAAGATTTTCTTCCATGAAACAAATTTGTAATAATAAAACATCAGATATCATGAAAACTGCCTAATTGCTTTCCAGTTTGATATAATTGTTATCTTTAATTAGACCACCACGTGGTGCAAATTGGCCTCAATGTGGACAGAAATGATGATTTTGGGAAATTTGTGATTTTTTTCTCCTAAATGTTTCCGACTTGAGGGGTGCAAAGGTAATTTTTTTGAAAAAAACACCTTCTATGCAGTAATTATAAATTTCTCAGATGTTCAATAAAAGAGCAGTACTGCACTGCAAAAACTGCAAACATAACTTCTTTCGGCTAAACTCTTGTAGTGTACGTGGCTATAAACTTGCACAAATAAAGATTAGCTTAACACACCTTGCACAGTCACCGTAACTTATTACATAAATAAACTTGGTATTGAAAGAGGAAGTGACACTTTAAAAAAATAAAAGTTTTTTCACGAACAACAGCCATACGACATTTGGATGAATTCAGGAAGCACTCACATGACCACAGTTTTTTTTTCCTGAAATATTCTAGTGATTAACGGCTTTAAATGCAGCAAATGAGCAGGATATTTCTTCGAATCGATTTGAAGTGGTCGCCAAAATAGCTGGTATGTTTGGCGTGGAATGAACCCGCTACAACCAGTACAAGCAGCGAGTAATGTTCCCGGCTCGGAGCTAAAGCATCAGTGCATTTGTGTAAAAAAAGATTAGGATGAAAGGAGAGGTGGAAAAAGGGAAGAGAAGAGTCTGAACACCTGCACCCTGCGTGCGCCTTGGAGAACATAATGGCAGGGTCATGTGCTGCCACCGCGCGATGACAATCTACCAAAAATACAACCAAATTACTCAAATATATGTGAACTTTGTTTAGAGGAACATGCGTGCCTTCTTAACAGAACTATCTCGTTTTCGTCAATTTTTTATAATTTTTATTCATTAGCTCTTTAAATGGCAGATTGTGAAATTTCTAGAGACCACAACCACACGGAGTACATCATAATGATAGAGGGGTGTTTTGACGCAAACATTTCTCGTTTTCTTCTTTCTTTTCGACGACTACACGCCACGCACATTACCTCCCCCCCTCCCATTTTTTGGCACGAACACACAGCAGCCACACTTGTTTGATATAATTGATAATGCGGCACAGCAGCATTGTCGTAAGCGGGTTGTTTTGCCAAAAAGAGCTTATAAACATTGGTGGTTCCATCTCATTATCATCACTGATATGTCGTTGAAACCAGTGTCGATGTAATGGTGTGTTCCACACGTTGTTATGAGCTTGCGGGAATTTTCGAATTATTGTGATTCCTCTGATGTGAAAATTCATAAGTCCTATCATCAAGCGTTTCAGGGTTGTTAGATTGCGCTTACAACACCAAATAAAAAGCCAAGTGCGTTGAAATTAACACAGCTGGTGCGGCATCGTTTTTTGATTCTCGGTAAGGAAGTTTTTTTCTGTTTTATTTGCTTCACAATAAAAAAGTGGGCGGAATTGCAGGCAAAAAAAAAAAGCGTATACGTGCTTTGCACAACTGAATGCATGAGTTCATTTCGTCAGTCAAACAGCGCGTACGTATAATTTCGTTATGTACTTATATTGTTTTTGCATGTGAAAGTTAACTACGACAGGCTCACCATTTCTACGAACTGTTTTATTCTCGAGTACACAGGATATTGTACTCTAGTGGAGGTGTAGCGAATACAGCGAGCTTATACCACAACCGCAAAGCGTGGTTTTAATATTGTTTCAACAAAAAACTCCTCCGAACATGGGGCTCTTCGCGGCACCAGAACACAGGCGCGTGCGCCGGCTCGCGATAACATCTCTACGACGTGGTCACGTGATGGATGTACGCGGCGCCAAGGGCGCCTCCAAGACGCGGCCTATGCAAGGTCGCGAATTCCTAGCACTCGCCAGCCAACATACACGCTTGACACGTCAGAACGTCTCGGTCGAGGACTCGTTAGAAACGACCATGTTCAGCGGCGATTTGCGACACCGAGACGTGTATTCGTTGTCTTATTCTGATCGGCTAACCTGTGGTTCCGTGAAGTCAGACAATATGCCAGCAGAAGTTTGCGCAACGTGTCGTTAACTTCGTTGCTTCGAGCCACAATTGTGTCGGAGCTTTCTCGCCAAGCGGACCAGCGAACAACTTTGGTGGATTTCGCTATCAAGTAAGTCCTTTCTTACGACCCTCGTGAATTTTCCCCGCCGTCGGCCTGTTCAACTGCCGACAAAATGCTCATGCCTTGAATGTTTACGCTGCTTTGAAGTCACACAGAGACCTACTCGAAAGCGGCTTTTTTTTCACGCACGGCTTCGGCGTATTTGCGAATTCTTTGCAACGGTGTCGCGTGCCACTGACTGTGAAATTGGTTACCGGGGGTTTAGCGGTGTGGCCTTGATAGCTGCTGTCAGGTGTCGTGTCACAGTACGCCTTGCGTTATAGTTGCCAAAAATTTTTCTACGTCCCAGGTGAGTGACCGACAAAACTGCGCATCCCATCCTTTTCGTTGCTGTTACGTTATCAGGCGACATGACCGAAGTTCAGTTGCCGTGTTCCGTGTAGATAAACAAGCCGCTTTGATTAGCAAGAGTGTGACAGCTGGGCTCTATCTGATTTCAGTAATTCACTTCTAAATATTAGCGCGGCATATTCTACCGGCAGCGTTTATTTTACCGCTTGCATGTCTTGTGCCGGCAGTAGTTGTTTAGTTACGTCCAGCTTGTTGTCCTTTTGGATTTCGCTATTTTCGCAGTGTCCGTTAGTGATTTTCTCGTCTCAGTTGGGCGCCAGTGACCTATGCTGTGGCGCATCGTGGCTCTCGCTATTTGGCTATAAGAAAAAAAGTGTATTAATAAAGAAGAAAACGGAAACACCATACGGAAGAGATCGCCGGATCGGAGCAACCCCGAGGGATGCACAGCGCGTTAGTACGGGTGCTGCCCAAGCTCATGGGGCGAAAAGGGACGAAGAAGCTGCTTTCGCTGTAACGGTTTGGCAATAGTGCCGGCAAATCAACTCCAAGCGGTATAGTCCCCGTTACCGGGGCTCTAGCGACTTATGTCTGCACCTTGCGCTCGCAAGTGTTTTGAAGAAAAGCAGCTCACTCGGTTTCTGAAACAAGGAGTTCAAAGTTCATTCAGCGGCTGCCGCCTTTAACTGCAGCTCAATAAAAGACTGTGAAGGTCTCTGAGATATCCCGTTGACATTGCTCTGAATGTTTGCAGTGATATCGCTGGCACTATTTCGTATAATGTAGTATGACTGTTGCTGGTTAACATGATGAAATACTATATTTTAAAAATATTTTGCCTTTATCTCGATACCAAGCATCAGAAAAAATTGACACGCGGAAAAATTAACAATAGAAAACGTACATGAAGCTGAAATATACTTATCTTTTTATTCAAACGCTTAGGTACTTAGCATTAGTCGCATGCCACTATTAAATGACTTCATTTGGTGCTGTCACTTGGAGTTGAAGCCAGCAGTGCTTGTTGGAATGGGTATATTTAAATTTGGCCAGCCCACTTTGCTATCTGTGCAACTTAAGTAAATTTTGTAAGCACCAGCTGGACAGCGAAGCGAGTGCAATACGTTGTCGTTTCACATTGGCCTAATAGTGCGCAAGTGTTAGTGAAATTCAGCCCTTTGCATACTTTTCATAGATGCACAGAATATATACTGTGAAATCCCAAGTGAGTGTTTCTGCCTTCTTTGAAGAATTTCAAATATGCGGCCGCTTGTCTCCTCTAAACATTTGCACTCATTTATACTGTTTACGCGCCAAACTAAAACGGCTTTTGCATGTGTGTGTACCTTATGAAGAACAATGCAGCTCTACCCCTTCTCCCTCTCTATCTCCAAAGGACGGAATGCTGCTGCCATACGGTGGGGTTGTTTAGTAACTTTTTATTTTTCAATTATGAATTGTCAGTGTATGCACTGCTTGGCTTTGTTGATTTATATTTTGCTATGTTCATCCGTGAAATATTCTGCAGCTTCTGTCAAAATTTATGTGTTCACTATAGAAAACATTCTGTACGTTCAATATGTACCATCAACAGCAAATATTTTCGGGACACGTAATGTTTGATGAATCTAAATTCTCACTTTGTCTAAGTATGTAATTTTAAAGCAGTATTCCATACTGCACTTCGCATTTCAACCTATGCAGTCACCAGGTAATTACAAGTGATAAGTACCGACGTAGCGGAAATTCGCATTTGTTGTGGAATCAACATATACCAAGCTTTTCCTGTTGATAGTACTTTCATGAATTTTTTCTGGCACTAGAGCCACCTGTTTTCTCCGCTTTTGCAGCTATATAGCTGGCATTTTATTTCTTTGCTGTTTTGTTTACTTAATACCTATTCAACCAGCGCATCTGAAACATTGCTTTGGGTGTACTTGCATTATTAAGTGTTTAATATTTTATTAGTCTTGGTCTTTTGCCTTTTGCTTTTTGGCAACCTAGCTGCTGTTTTCCGAGCAATCTGTAGATATTGATATTGACTCTACTAAGCTTTGGTTCATAAATAAATGCTGAACAGTTGCCGAGGTGCATAGCCTGCGCCACAGCAATCTAGATTCTAGGCTGGATGATATGTGGCTTCTTGCTAGTTGCGTGTTTTGCTATTACCTAGAGCACTTTTCATAGTCCTAAAATTTATCTTACGTTGCTTACAGCTATGCTACCATGTAAACAACTCCCGCAAAGAGTGGATTTGATCTTTAGGGCATCAGTTGCAATTTTGAAGGAGGCAAAAATGCTAGAGGCCTTGGTGCTTTTGAATTGACATTCACATTCAGAACCCCATTATTATTCTTACATCAGGTGAACAAAGTGGTAATTCTAGATTGTATACATCTTTCAAAGAGGAAAACTGAGCTGCTTAGTAGGTTGGTATTTATATTAAAAAGGCAGGGAATGCAAACAGGGACTTGAAAGAGTAGTCAAAACACCACAAACACCAACTGGAAAAAGTTGACATTAAGCTACAAACAAAACAAGGCAAGTGGAGATATCGATCAAGACGGCATGCCTGTTGATCTATGTGAGAGATAACTGCTCAGCATTTCATTTCTTTTTGAGTTATTCAATGGTCACACATGCACTACCACATGTCGCTATGCCAAGCCTCAACCATTAGATGCATTTCTTAATATCTGTGCTTGTACGAAACACCTTGATTCAAATTTTGGCATGCATTTACGTCGTGATATACAGATAGGTTTAATCATGGGCCTCTGTTTAACTGTCTTATATGTTCTGTTAGTCTGCCTTCTCATTGTTAGTTGACATTTGAAGTGTTCTGTCCCACGTGCGGACATGTTTGCAAGCCCAGTCTTTTCACCATGTTTGCGTATAATGCGTAAGGAAAATAGGTTATGGAGTGAGTGTTAAGAAGTTAAATTTATGTCTAGTGTAAAATGTTGTTTCTGTTTTCTTCTGTTAGACATCTTGCCTAACAATGACTGGGCATTATTTAGGAGCCTGCTAACGGGATAAGAGATATACATACATAAGACAGCAGCTAATAGCATGCTTTCGAGACTGCTACCTCATGAGGCCGAGAAAGTCAAGATGTTACATGGGGCATGCTAGAAAAAGTGAATTGTTTCTGATGTTCTTTGTTTTCTCGGCAGACATTCTACAAAAATCGGCCCAAAGGCGGACGGAAGACATTACAGATAGACACACAGAAGCCATCGGGCTGCCTCAGAAACTGTGACTGAGCCTTAACCTGTAAGGATTTGCGAGTTCATGGTCTTGTCATGTTAGTCTGTGAAGTGGTTTTTTGACCATTTGTAATATTTTTCAAAAGTGGTGCTTTGATGCCTCAATGTGGGAAGAAGTTATTCTAGCACTATTTTGAGGGTAAAACTTTCTAATACAGCAGAGGCTTTTGAAACCATGTACTCAATATTTGAGTTATGGGACAAAAATAACTGTGGCATGATTGTTGCTTCATGATTTTACCAGCCTTTGTTTCTTTGTCAGCAAAATTTTATGGCTATGGTATCGAAATAATTTTTGTTTCAATTTCTGCTTATGTTGGTTGTGAGGAAACATGGCAAAATGATACTCGCCCATGACCCGCAGGTCGCGGAATTGAGTCCAGGCTGCAGCGGCTGCATTTACGATAGAGGCGGAACTGTTGTACGAGGTCGAAATTTTTGAAGCCCTCCACTATGGCGTCTCTTATATTCATATGGTGGTTTTGGGACGTTAAACCCCACATATCAATCAAATCAAGCATGGTAAAATGCAGTGTTTTGTATATATTTTACAAGAGTGATTTTTTTTCTTGTAGAATAAAATTACATAGTTTGTTTTAAGGGCATATACCAAGAGTTAAGACACTTCTTACTCTAAATATTCAAGAGATTTTTACCCTGGGTTCTTTGGCTGATAAGACAGTCATTAAAGAATAAACGTAAAGGGTGGCCTATAAATTCAGTAGAAAGGCTTACTGTCCATATCTTAAAATTTTATTATACACTACATGACAGTTGTCTTATTATGGCAGAAGTTAAGACGATAATAGGGGGGGGGGGCTTTGATTGAGTGCCAAATCATTAAGGAAAGTTTCTGGAGCCAATCAAGATTTTTCGAAATTCGGTTGATTTGAATGTTTGAACAAAAATCGTTTTTCAAGGTCGTAGCAGTAACCTTGATACGGTTTGCTGCTCTGGTAAATGGAAGTCCTCTTGTCGAATCGCTCATTTTAGCATCATGGACATAGCGTTATAAAAGTATTGAGCAGCAAGACCCCTGCTAAATGTCTTGTCCTCTGAGTTTTGCACCCGGTATCATTACAATAGACGCATTTGTTAAAGATGAGGATTTGTAATGAATGTGTTGAGATGTATACCTGATGAAATAAAAGACATATTGAACGAATGTTGCAGCTTGTTATTCTACAACAGAACTTTTCTTTACCAAAGCAGCAAACTGTATCAAAGTTGCTGCCAAAACCTAGACAAATTGTCTTATTCAAATATTCGCTCCAACAACACATTTAATTTAGCGATGACACTCATTCAAGCCCCATCTTCATGTTAACTCCTTCCGTAATGAAATCTACAACTGTCATGTAGTGTTTATAGGATTTACAAAGAAACTATATGTTCAGGCCGTGCATCTTAATTTATTGCTCACCATTTGTGTTGATGCAGTATACATCTTCTTCATCAGGCTAATACTTCCACCATGATGTTATGAATAAGACAACATGTACCCATCCAACACTCTGGTCGCGCAGTCGCAGAGTGTTGACTACGGTAACCACAACGAAGTCCTGAACCTCTTGTCTCACAATTTCTGTTTCTCGCTCCAAAGGTGCCGTTACAATATGTTGCCTGCCGCACGTAGGCCTTCGCAGTGGTCAACAGTATACTTTGTCTTGTGTAAGATTTCGTATAATAATGCAAAATGATTTTGTTTGCCCTACATAACTCTCCATGGTGCTAGTAGTTACAGAAATTGTAACTGCCACACTATGGTACTAATTAAACGGAATTCGTTATGCTAGTCTTTGAATTCTTATGCAGTTAGAATATAGTGCGTTTAACGTTGAGTTCTTGTCTACTATAGCAATAGGTCTTCGTAGCATCCTGCTGCTTGTTCTGCATGTGATTTGTTCTTGTCCAGAAGTACCGTCTGTTTTTGTGATTCATGAAATAGGGGTGTGTAGAAGTGATGTATGTAGTAGTCAACATAGTGGTTTGAACTCGGAACATTACTGTTGCTATAATAGTTTTTTTGTACTTCCTTTTCAGACATAAAGAAAGGAGCCAAGCAGAGCTGTTCATGGGCCATGCACACAGTTTCATAAGTGGGCTTTCAGAACTTTTGACAATTATGTTTCTGAATACATCTGCCAAAGTTGTGTTTAAAGAAGCGTGTAGTAGTGCATTTCATTACTCATTTGACATGCTGCAGCAGGTATAACTCACACACTTGCAAGATAACGCAGCAGAGTGCATACATATAAACTACCCCCCCATACACACTAGATTTGTGGATGAACTGTGAATTGTTTACTCTGACCTTTCACAACAATTATTAAAAAATGACATAAAGCTTTGCCATCTATGCAAGTAGCGTTCTCCCTATGAGTTAGAAATAAGTGTGCAAAGTTCAACCAGTCTACTGGTCACATATTTTCTTGTAAACATTTATAAATAGAAGGCCGGGGTTGTTGGAAGCTGATAGCGACTGCACAAGGTTTCTGTTTTCTCACATTTGCACATGAAGTGGCATAGTCAAATTGCTCAGGCAGCTGCTATGTATTGTTCACTCAACAAGGTTTAAGCTCTGTGTCAGAACATGTTGCATGAAAAACTTAAGCAACGTCCTCTTTACGTTCTTCAAGTTTTGTTGACCACTTTTCATTTGTTTTTTGCCCACGGAAGTTGTGTCGCAATTTTCGCTTTATATTTCATTGATGACCTCACTCAAATCTTCAGTGCTTTTCGGTATAGCTTGGGATATACGTTCACAAACCACACACCTGTGCATGATCGGAGGAAAGTCTTCTACAAAGTACACTGGGGTATTGCAACGCTACTCCTATTGGCAAAATGGGCAGAAAGAGTTCAGAGGTTTAAAGACTGCAAAGCGGGGATGCTGCTATTGCCACCAGGGCAGCTTGTTCCAAGACTGAGTTTAACTACTGGACAACAAGGCGTAGCTTCTATATAAACAGTGCTTAAATCTGGCTTGGACACAGATAGGGGGGTGGGGACTTAGAATATTACTTAATTTGTTGTCAACCATTAACTTCCAAGAGCAACATGTTCACTAGGATGTATATTGCTAAAGAAATGCTAAACCTTCACTGACTTGTTACTAACAATGCTGGAACTGCCACCTGCTTAGGTCAGAACACTTCTATGCAACTTTACTAATTGCAAGTCCAAGTAAACTTTTTACACTCATTATTTCACACGTAGTTTAGAACATCGTTGCATGTACAGATTGGCTCAACAAAAAGAAATCTGCAAAATGGGGAAAGGGAGGATGTAATGTGAATTTAGCCCGGGTAAATTTTTGGCCTTGTTGGTGTAACATTTGCATAAAGTTCAGCGTAGCACTTGAAATCACAAGGATGGGACAGGCTTGTGTATGTTCTGCCTCTCCCATCTTCATCATTTAAGTGCCGCGATTAGATCTATAAAGATGTCATGTTCTCTATGTGCCTTTGTTTGCTGTGCACTCCAATCTTGTGTTCTTTGTGTGGAGTTCAGTTCAACTGGACTCCTGTTCAATTTGGTGTTATGTACATAATAAACAGGTACTTTAGGGAGCTAGCCATGAATGACTGCATTGATTCCACAAAAATCATGCTACCTATGCAAAACATATAGTACGTTGTAATGATTCTATGAACCTTGTGTTCACTTGCAAATGAAGGTGTGCCCAAAAACTAAATTAACAACGTGTCCAGCCAACAAAACTCTCCGTCAAGCAACACAAATACCTCACATTCACAGGCACGAAGAACATAAATGAATTCCTCCATTTCTATATTTTGCAAGCAGGCTGCATAGCACAGCTGTGGTGCGGCATGCTGTTGTGCGGAACAATACAGGAGACTGTTTTGCAGAACAATACAGCAGACTTTTGTGTGGAACAATGCAAACATTTTTGTATTAGTTGGAATAACGTATAGAATACGTAAGAACGCTTTGTTCGAAGGAAATTGTGGTATTTTCGTCACGAAATATTATCTGTGGCCTTAGTGGTGCAACGGGTTCTTTGGTAACTGTGCTTAAGGATGACTTCCGTGAAGAGGCTATGTCCTAAGGAGATAGTTGTATTCTTGCTCACGGAATTGCTTGGCACCGCTATACCTTCAGCGTTCTCCGTGAAGGAGTGTCCTCATTTTTTACAGTGTTGCAAATCTCCTTACCAAGTAACAAGCGTAGATTCAAGAAAAAGCGTAGAAGTTTAAGAAATCTGTGCACAAAAATACCACGATTCCCAACAAACCGTGTTTGGCCATTTAGCCCTGTAATAATTTCATTCCCACATTGCAAACAGAAATTTATGCAGCAAAGAGTAGGGCAAGGTCTGGTCATTGGCCCTGAAGGCAGACTTTTTAACAAGGCTTTGATTTATTAATTAGCAACAAGTATTGAATTGCTAACAAAGAACGAATACACTATATTTACGAGCTGATATGGGTGTTTAAGCAGCCCGAGACAACATGCTGCTTCGAGTGATGCTTCGACACCATTACGAAAGGTTATTTCAAGAGTGCGTGTTTTGGCAATGACAATACCTGCAATTCGTGGCATTTTGAATATTTCGCCAAAGACCTCCGCCATTCAAGCTTTAGATCCGAGAATAAAATCAGTGCCTGCTTCTTATGAGAGGCCCACCAGCAAGTGAATCAGTTATATTATCAAAACAAGAAATCTGTTTAAATGATAAAGTGTAATCTTGCATGGCGAATGTTTTACATATATATATATATATATATATATATGCAATCTTTCAAATAAATTTGAAGTTAGTCCACCGGGTATCCCGTTCCTTTCTGTGTGTTTTCAATTTTGCGCTACCTAACTAATATTAGGTTACGAATCGTCCATCTTTTAGTTTTACACAGAGATATTGCTGTGACTGCAGCTAAGGGTGCGCACAGGGGCTAATGGCAGAACGCCACCCGGCCGCCGCCAGAGATGACGAAGCAGTCAAGTGCTGGAAGTGTTCACAAAGCTCACGCTGTCAAGCTCGCGTAAGGGAATACGGTGTTGCGGCGCGAAAGGCGATGAATAACTCCGTTGCAGTAACAGCCAGCTCCGTAAAAGCGTGAAGACAAAGCAAACGCATTTCAACTTAGCAGTAGAGACGCCTCTGATGTTTAACTGCATCCCAATTGTCTGTACCAGACAGAACAAGCGACACAAGTATTGCACGTTACAAACCTGACTGCCAGCGTGCGTCCTGGTGGCGGCAAACATCAAGGCTTTTTGGTTTTCCCGAAAAAGAAAACAGATTTTCGTGCTTTAGGAGAAGTGGACGATGGTCACAGGTGCACGCAGAAAACGGTCGATTGCAAAAAATTATGCCTCCATTCACGGCAAGGCCTACTGGCAACGCGTTGTCGAATGTCTCTCTGTAATATTAGTTCGATGAGCTTGTAAAATTAGAACAAGGCCATATAATTATCACGGAACATTGTGTTTTTCGCTCACAGACATTCCGTTTATGAAGTACAAAAGCTATTGTTTTTTGTATGCAAAGCTGCCATTATCTACTTACAGAAAGACCGTGTTGTTGCTAGACATTTCGTTAAGGAAACGGAAGCCATTGTTTTCTGTAAACAATGCTGCCATCACCTACTCGCAGGAAAACCTTTCGTTACGAAGCGTTTCATCCTTATTCTTTAAAGTGCTATTTATATTCATGTTTTTTTGGGCAAATGGTTGATTTTTACTAATTTTATTTGTTTATTGGTTAGTACTGCAACCATCAAAGAGGGTTTCAGCAGAGTGGAATGCATAAGTAGGGATAATGAGATACAGAAAACGTGTGAAAAAGAAATTGCACTACATTCATGACCTTGAAAGATATTGATATATTTCCCACAACTCTAACTTTTCAATTCATAGGCAAACTTTGAATTGAGGGCACCACAGCAGATGTCTCATAAGGACACTCTAATGTTCCCTATAAAAAAACAGTGTTTCCAGTATCTCCCAGCGCGTTTCAGCGCACTGGGTGACGCTTGAAACGCGTTACAGTGTGTCCGAGTGTACTAAAGCACGCTGAGAGGCACTGGGACACACTGTACAGCGGGGCCAGTGCCACCCAGTGCACTGAAACGCACTGGACCACACTGTACAGCGTAGCCCAGTGTCCTAAAGCGCGCTGCAATGCACTGGAACACCCTGTACAGCATGGCCAGTGTCGCGCAGTGCGCTGAAACACAATGTATCACACTGTACATCGTAGGCCAGTGTGCCAAAGCATGCTAAGAGGCACTGCTCACGCTGTACAGTGGCTACTGCACACTGATCATCTTAGCGGCACATTGGCAGAAACTAGGTGCGATCGGTGCACTTTCTGTAAGACTTCATATTGAATCGCGTCATGTCGAGTGTAAAATTTACCAAATATGATGGTATTCCAATCTACGTGCTACACATACCTGTGGAAATGGATGCGAGTACGCTAAGAATTCATATGTTGATCGCGCGGGTCAGAGGTGCTGCCAGTATTTTGCTGGGGGGGAGGGGGGAGAGGTACTAACTAAAACTTTTTTCCTGCAGCAGGGCAGGGAGCACTGAACCTATGCGTCGTGTTTTACCCATGACTTGAGGGGCAAAGGAGGAGCATGCAAGAATTTCTGGAAAAAAAGTTCTAGCCCACTAACCGATGCCCCCCTAAGCGCGGGTGCGATTTCCTTGAATTTTGATTGAGTTTGGTCAATGTATTTCATAACCGGCATCAATAGAACTGAGAATTCGCAACATAAAATGACAGTAACATCAGTCTGATAATCATGACCGACCTACCCTAGCAGTGAGTTGTTGCGGCTCGTACCGTAGAAAGCCGCATGTCCCCGGCAGCAGTTATCCAGTTTAAGGCCCGGTCTTGGTTTGTGTAACCTCCGATTTGTGTATTCGAAGGTGAAATTGTGACTATTCATAGGTCAGTTATGATCAAAACTACATTGTAACGATTATTAGACCCTTTCTAACTAAATATCTACAATCTTTCCAGAAACCGTGGCACAAAAAAATTGGCCCTAAGCCTTGTGGTCGTTTCGGCTAGAGTGAACGGCTGCGGCTGTCGTTCGCGGAACGTAAACGAGGAGGACACAAAGTATCGAAGGACGAAATCTACAGTGTTCAGCGAGCAGTTCAGATGAACGCTGTTTATACACAGGTATGACTAACCGCATAGCGAGCCACAACAATTGCCGTAACACATCTGCAGCTTCGCTAACAAGCTTTGCAGGAAAACGTGCCAGATGGTTGTGATCCAAGGCAACTAGCAAAGAATGAGCTAACAATCGGTATATTGGCGCGAGCACGAAGAGACGATACACTGAGTATGTAAACGACAAGTTCAAAATATTGGATACCTGAAGTACTTTTCAGGTGAAGAAAAATAAAGGTGTTCTTGTGGTTGAGGCGTGGAGTAGTCGGCAGCGTTTCAGGCTCAGAACACGTGATGTTTTAAGGGCATAAGTTCGACGCCGGCTCAGTCTTTTTTAAATTTTTTCCTTTTTTATTTTTTCACTGCGTGCTTTTTTCAGCCTTAATTACGATGTGCGCAGAACTACAAACTCTAAACACAATTTAAAATCCAGATTTTGGCCGATATTGGGTGTCCCATTGTGTAGCGCCAGCGTGCCGTGAGGCATGGATGGTTGGATGGATGGATAGATGGATATGGCTGTACCCTTTAGATCGGGCGGTGGCTAGAGCTACCAAGCCGTAATACCTAATGAACCAAAAACTAGATTCATTTTGTTTCCTTTAGGTAGTGAGGTTGAGGATTCGTACTTCGCTCTGAAAGGTTCAATTTTCACTCATGCCTTGACTTTAGCCACCAATCAGATAACCTCCTTCTAGTTATTTCTACCCGCTTACAGTCTATTTTGCCCTCCATGTCCCTAAACCCCAGGGCTTTGAAGAACTCTGCACCATCATCCTGAGCTATAGGGTGAATCCCTTCACAAAACATTATCAAGTGTTCGGCAGTTTCTTCTTTCTCTCCACATGTACTGCATACTGTGTCTACCCCTTCTTATTTGGCCCGATATGTCTTGGTTCGCAAAACTCCTGTCCTGGCCTGAAACAGTAGAAAACTACCCCGAGTATTATCATAGATCCTTTCTTTGGCAATTTCCTGCTTAAAAGTTTGATAGATCTCTAGTGCGGACTTCTTGATGATGCCGATTCTCCACATGTCGGTCTCAGCTTCCTTCACCTTCTTCTTGACCGATAATGTTTTTTGGTTTGACCCCCTGCTGTTCTCTAAGTATTTACCAGTCAATTTTCTGGTTCGCTTCCTCCATTCTGAATCGACATTCTTCATGTACAAGAACCTGAAAACCTTCCTTGCCCAATGCTCCTCCCACATTTCTCTCAATCGCTTCTCAAATTTTATCTTGCTGCTAGCTTCCCTGCCCTCAAATGATGTCCATGCCATATCACATTGTACTCTCTGATTTGGTACATTCCCGTGAGCTCATAAGGCAAGCCTAGCTATTCCACGTTGCTTAATTTCTAATGTTGTTTGAACTTCTGGTCTCATGCACAAGACTTCATTGCCGAACGTCAGACCAGGAAC